TGAATCATATTATAGATATATGGATTTATAATCTGATCTTTACTTTATAATTTTTAATTTTATTTGTATCATTAACAACTCAGAATACTAAATCAAATTTTCTAAGTATGATTTTATTAACTTTGTGTAATTCAAAGAGAAGATGCTTATTATATATGATAAAATTACAAAATACAACTAATCCTCAGTAAAAATTTATAATTACGTAATTTAGAATTTATATTAGAACTGCTGAATTACATCAAGTGCTTGATTTAATCAATGTTAAACTTTTTCCTGGATTTTCTGGTCCTTGATTTAATGTACTAACCAGAATAGTAATAAACAAACCTTAAAAATGCTGTAATAAAAAATAAAGACTGCATCTAACATTTTTGGTCAGTTAATTGACCTTCAGGAAAGAATTGAAAAAATTCAGATTTTTTACCAAACAAGACCGAATTTTGAATGTTTTTAAACATTAAAATTTAACATCTAGAGTCCATGAATAGATAATTAAAATACATGGACTGATAATGTACAAACATATGAATACACTAACCATAAAAGAAGTGTCTGCTATTGCTGTAAGTCAAATTGAATGTTTCAGAAAAAAACATAATAAACTTATAATGAACAAGATATACATAACATTTTAATACAAGTATGAATAAAATTATTATTATAATGTACAGGTATGACTGAATCAATCTGAGAGAGACCCTCCAATGCCAAGTGCTTTAAGGTAACTGGGTGGTATAATGGGTGCCATAAACAATCCTCCAGGCAACATCTCCATTATAGTCAGCCTTACATCTGCATTGGGGCTCAGTAGATGTTGACTGTATATTTCCTCCTGTATCACAACCCATGCATGGGTGATTCTAAGTGTGTGAGATGTTTGTTTAAAAGTCTCCAACAGAACAGCCGACTGTTTCTGGGACTGCTGTATGTTCTCATGTATGCAGTATTTTTGGCTAGTTCAAAGTTAACAGTTTTAGGACTTAGTAGCAAGCTTGCCACTGGTGACTCATAAGAGCTCCATCATAACATTAGTACTCCCATAAGAGGAAAATCACACTATGTTAAAATTTATTCAAATCAATCTCCAACACTGCAGAGCAACTTCTGCAATTCTGAGCCACTGGATAATGGAGGGCATGATATAATTCTGATATAGGAGCCCTGGGTCTTCAGAGCACCCAGGTTCAAGTCTAACTTACATGATACTCTATCACCACTCATCCGATAATCTGTGGTAGAAAAATATGACAATAGCCACAAAAACATTACAATAAGGAATATATTTGGACTAAGGACTAAGCCTGTAGACATTACTTAGGGAAATTTCACCAAAAGGCAGGGATCTTGTTTTAAGACTAAATGGAACATTGTTTACTTTGTTTCTGATCAATTCAGTCACTTGTTACATTGCTGCTTAATTACATTCATAAATGTAAGTAAGTAGACACAAGAAGAATATGGTTACAGAACAATGCTATTTGGGAAAGATCAGAAGTCTGTCAGTTTAGTTAATGTTATCTGCCAATAATTTCAGTAACTTACCTTAAAAGTATATGAGCATGACATTTAAAATATTAAATATGATAAAATTTAAAAATTATTTAGTACTACGATCATATTTTATAGTACATTTCCTTGTTAATTTTCCATTATAAATGGACCATTTCCCATATTATGGATGCTTACTCAGTTTTAATGAATCATCAATATCTTTGAATTAACATAAAAACTGATACATTACAAGCCAAAAATTGTAATACATGCATATTATATTTAATAATACATGGAAAAACTGATCTACAACATTATTAATATTAGCAGATTTTATATATATAACAAACAACTTACTTAAAACATATTTATAATGGCCTTTTTTGTTTATGCCTTCTATTATTTATATGATTATTAAAAACTTTTAAATTATATTTCATCAAACAGTGCAATCTAAAAAATTTTATTAAATATCAATAATGTCTTGTGACATTGTTTATCTCATCCTTTTCCCAAACAGATTTCATACACAACGAGAAATTATTTATTGTAACATCATCACAATGCTGGGCTGCAACTTTTAATCATTTTAATTTATTTAATTTGAAATATATGATCTCACCTCAAATTAGTAGTGGCTTGCCCCTGTACATCATACTTTTCCTTTAAGAATAGAGTTGTGCTGATCATATATCTAACACCTTTCAGGGAAAATTTTTGAATTGAAATAACATGACTTCCAGTTTCCATCACAAGTTCATATATCGAGGCCAATCGAGTTCACATTCCGGTTTGCATCACAAGGTCAATCAAGGCCTAAATATCTGGTCTTCGATTTCATTTAAATCCATTCGTGAGATTAAGGAAAGACAGCCAGATGGACAGAGACAGTGGAAATTTATAGGTCTATAACTTTTTCAAAGTGCAGTCCAAAAAGGATGCTTTTTTTAAAATAGATTACTCTCACATATACAGCATTTTAGCTGAAGCATTAAAATCACTGATTGATGAATATTAACACATGATCACACCCTCTTATTTTTTAACAGATGTATAGTACAGTATATGCATAAGGCAGCAATTCCCAATTGATTTTTCACATGTAGTTAAACTGCATGTAAGAGTTGTTCCTTGAATTTGATGATTCTGAAAAATGCTGTCATGTGTCTTCTCTGTACATGCCAAATTTCATCATCATCATAGATTGTTTAGTTTATGAGAGATTGTTTTGTTTACAAACAGTGTAACCAGACTCCCATAAGAAGAATTAGCTCTGGGATAGCATGGGACAATGTAAAATGATTTCGATTGAAAATAAACAACAGGATGAATGAGGTGTTTCTCTGAAGGACCATATTTTTTATTATTTGCATTTTTGGGCACAAAATAAAAAAAACCACAAAAGCATTTAATTTATTGAAGGTCATAAGGCCCCACGTGTTCAATATATACACACACTTCAAAAATTGCTCATTTTCATTAGCTAAATCAAAAATGTAAGACAGCAATTTCTTAATTTATAAAACTTATATTGTAACAGATTTTCTCATACATACTGCTATATGTGTATATAACTATGCCAAAATATTGGAATAATTAATTCCAATTTCAAAATAACAGAATAACTTATTAAAACTGTAAATGTAACCATTCTATATGCAAATTAATGCCAAACATTATCTGCATAAAAAAAAACGCATTAGCTATAACTTTTTCCAAATTGATCTAAGACGTTTCAATGAAATGATCTTTCAGTTAGTGAAATAACTGCTTATTTTTGATCTAGAGAAAATAAGGTAAAACACAATGTTATAGTATGTATCATTAATTGTACTCAATCAACTGTTTAAAATGTTGAAGTACTGTATAATCTTAATTACGGATTTAAAAATAATAGGAAAAATGCAAGTCTGCATTGAAAAACCACCAGTTAAGATAAAGTGCAAAAGCCAATCATTTCCATATCTCTGAATAATATCATTTGTGGAAAGCTCACAGTAACAAGGTATCTCTAAGAACAACTGTCAGACAACTACATGAGATAGACATGTGTACAAAAATGTAGGCCTTTATTAATGTCTACACAGAAAAAGCAACAACTTACATAGTGCAAAGAACATGTTTGCTGAAATAAAGAGCAGCAATCAAATGATTTTTCACTAATGAATCAAGAGTTTGTATATCGTATGAGATTGAATAAAGGGCCTGGAGAACAAATCATGAAGCCTTCCTTTTAGCTACCATGAGAAGCTCAGTAAAGTTTCCACAGAATGATAATCTAGACTGCATGAATAGTAAAGGCATTAGAAAACTGGCACTATTGCACGTGACTATATATATTCAAAAATATATCAGAAAATTCTGGAACATTTCTTATTACTTTCAATGGAAAACATGATGCTGATAACATTTTCCAGCATAACAATGCTCCAGTTTATGCATCATCCTCTACTAACAAATGACTTAATGAATGTAATATTCTAGTAATGGCCATTACCAATTCCCAATAGATTACCAATTCCCATAGAAACTTGTGAGGAATCACGAAAAGATTGACCAAAGGAAAAACAACTACAAAAAGTGGATTAATAAAGAAAATAAGGAAAGTTTGACATTCAATTCAATGGGAAGACTGTGCCAAATGAGTGAAAAATTGCAAGCCATAATCAAGGCACACCAATAAAATACTAAATATTCATTCATTGTTAATTTAACTTAAAAATAGTATTATGTTAATTTTTTGCTGTTTTCTACATTATTCCAATATTTTGGCACAAGGAAAAAGAGATTTCAAATTTTGTCACACTATATAATCATGTTTCATTTCAAAATATTTAAATTAAATCAAATGTTTTATGCCATTTGAGAACTTCCATATTCAATTTTTAGTTTTTTTGTAATATACATTAGCAATTATTTTGAGTTCCATATCTATCTATATAACCCATTCAATGCGTGTCCGTCCACGTAATGGTATTCCAAAAATGGACATTAGAGGCGCCCTAGCAATGATTTTAAATTAACAATAAATTATTTTTATTTGTAATAAGAATTTATTATTTAAACCACAAAATGGTATAAATAATTATTATATGCCTTGATTAACCTTGCGCCGCACATTTACAACATCCCGTGACTTTTAGTGAACGTTGCGCATTGACTCATGGGAAATTTGTTGAAAAAATGGCGGATACATTTAAAATTAAGGTTTACAAGAGAAGGTAAATAAACAAATTAAACTATTTTAAAGTATTTATAGAATGTTTAATAGGTAGGAATCTAAATCCGTATGACGCGATTGGGACTTTAACAGAGCTGTAGAGCATATTGATAGAAATAAAAAAGTCAAAGGAACCATGCCTCATGGGAATTTGTAAAGAACGCCCACTAGGAAGTGTCCCGGGCTACTAGTTATATAATATAGTACTTTCTTTCTATACTTGTATTCCAATATTTTGGCATAGTATTTCATATTCATTACATAGTAAAAAGAATCTGAAATTTACCACTTCAAATGATGTATCTGGATGCTCTGATGTTACATGCTCATGTAATGTAGTCTCTGTGAAACCAGTCTTTCCACAAAATGGACAAGTATATGCCTGAGGCTGATCAACAGATATTGCTTCTCCACCATAGTACAAATCTAAATGTAAAAAAATTTCATTAAGAGAAATGACATATTTAAATTAATTATTTATTTGATATTTCTTATCCAATACTCTTTACTCTATTCAAGTATTAATACATAGAAATAATTGACTTCCAAAATACAACTTAAATTTAAAAAAAAACATTAAGCTAATCTTGTATTAAAAGTTTTTAAGTATTCTGCTAGCTAACTTTTATTTACTATATATAAGTTAGCAACAAATAATTAGCAAAATAAATTTAAGCTTGTATTATTTATTTATTAATTTAATACTACTATAATTTATATTCTTTATTTATAAAATGCATTATAAATTAACATCAAGGAATAAAGAAAGTCATACAAGTAAGAGAATTCATATGCAATGACTACATGAAAAACTTTAACAAATATTACTATTACTTTTTATCTAACTGTTAACAGGTACTTTCAATTATACAGCACAAAAAAATTACATTGTGGTTGAATTACAGAGCACAATTTGCAAAACCCATTCTAAAACAAATCAAGCAGTCAAATTTTGTATCAACCATTCTTAAATTTTTGACAGTTTTTTTTGCTTTCTCACAACAAATTCAATAGAACATATTTTTCACTTTCAGAATATTCATTTCCATGATTTAAATATATTTCAAACTCAAAGCTAATATTTTCAAATTATTATAATCAATTAACAAAATAATAAATTTAACAAACAAACATCTAATAAGTAAAATTCTCATCTGAAGTTCATTTGAAAATTTTCTTCAAATTTTTGTGGTCTGAAGATGAAACGAAGTCCCAAAAAATATTTTACCAATAAGAAACTGATGTCTATAATTTTAGTTTTTTCCTCCTTGATCTTAAATGGAGTTGTCATACTCAAACTTGTCAATTCACAAAATCTCAACCAACAAGTCTTCTGTTTATTTTCTGTTGGACTTAAAAATATTCTGCAACTTTAAAAACTTTGCTCTGCTATAATAAGTGAAACAGTACTAAGTCAATGTATGTAAATGGGAATTCACTACTGTTCCATTCTATGATATTCTAATACACAGTGGCGTACCGTAGTGAGGGCAGCCCGCCCCGGGCAGCACTTTTTAGGCAGCAAAATTTCACAATAAATAATATCATCATCTTGTAAAAATTTGAAACACCCTAAACTATACTTGCATCGTGCCTATGATAGTGCTATCATCCGGACAGTCCGGGAATTGGCTCACCGTCCGGGTGAACTAGTAGTTTTTTTTTTATCTGAGGAAATCCTGCAAAACCTGTTGACTTTTTTTTTTGCTTGTACGATTCAATCGCATTCATATACACCACTAATATCCAATAGAACTATTTTAAATAGGTCGTTGCACTACCACCAAATTTTTCATTGCTTGTTCTGTGACAAAACTGAATTTTGGTCTTTTAAATTGAAATACCTAAATAAGGGGGTCCAAAATTTTCCTCAGCCCCAGGCGGCTAACACCCACAGTACGCCACTGCTAATACATGTCATGTGGCAGACAGTTAAATATGTGACCGGAGGGTCAGTACCTCTTTGATGCCTTGTCAGGACTGACACCACCGTGTCCCGATTGACACTGAAGCCGAGATGGCGTGTTGATTCGGTCATGCAAGTGACCGAATCTGGGATCTAAATTTTGGGACGAGACACAGCTTGCTGGAAGTGACTCAGGCAGAGACTAGGTTAACAAAACAATTGTTTATTTGTAAAGGACAGGAAATACATTCTATACAATTTTGATCATGAGTATACTAACTAAATAGAGTTAAAATAGGTTTAGTATAATAACTTTGTAGTTTGAGAGAGTTTACAGTGGTTGGTGAGTTGATAAATACCTTTGAAGTTGAAGGATCCGGTTGTAGTCTTGTGGCAGGAGAGAATGCAAATAGTTCTGGACAAGGTATATATGGCTAGATGTCAAGGTAAACTTGCTGGGATTAGAATTGAAGTTGAGCAAATGTCGGATTGACCTGTGTGTCTAAGATGAAGTTATTTCACTTTGGTGATGACAAGATATTCTGTTTCAGAGGCACTAATGTTTTGAGTCAGAGTCGAGAGTATAGTCCGTTTTGGATGCACTGAAGTTAACTCGATTGGGCGAGTGACTGGCAACAACAAACTTTTTTTGGCAGTCAAATCCGATATCAGTGTGACATCGCCTGGCTAAGAGGTCAGCAGATCATGGGGAATGCGGCACTTTTGCAGTTGAGAAAGTGTAAGGGGAAATTTTCTCAGGTAGCTGAGGACAATTGTTGAGCAAGCACGACGACATCAACAATTGATTTTTGTTAAAATTCAGAATATCACAAATATATGATATTTGGAAAAATCTAATATCAAAGCCAACCACTACCGTATGCTATCAGGTTAATGTTTGTTAATATCTCCCATACAAATATCAATATCTAAAACCCAACAGTTACATATTAAAGAAACGATTGACATATTATATCGGACTACTTAATAAGTAAATTCTAAGAAATTTGGCACTAGAGATAGGTGTTCAGTGCCATCTCTTGCTAAATTTAATAATTATAATTAAATTTATATTTTAATAATTTATAAGGGTTCTGGAAGAAAAGAATTCGCCTGAAGTGGGACTCTAATCCATAACTCTTGCTTAAACGGGAAACACGAAGGGTTGTCATCACAGATTTCAATAAAATTTTCTGGACTGTAGTATTTACTTGTACATAAACTGTGCCAAAGCCACAGAACCCAATATTCAGGCATTCTATAAAAACTTGAATTGTGATTTTCTTGAGAACTATTAATATTTGTGCAGAAGTATAATTTCCATGCCAGTTAGGCCATGCTCATGGCATGGCCTAACTAGTTAAGGTGTTGCATGGAGAGCATTATATGGGTTCAATCCTGCGCACAATATATATAAATATATATATATATATATATATATATATTTTACATTTAATTAAATTTGTTATGTACAGTTTTTAAAGTTCTTGAAAATTTATTTTTTATTTTGATCACTCCATATTTATTTGTTAGCAAATACATACAACAAATCACATTTTGTATTGTTTAATGCAATATAGGTTCTTATATTATATACATCAATACATTTATATTACATATCATATGTAAAGTGTGAACGATATAATAAGCACTCATCATCATCCATATTCTTTCCAGCAAAAAAGATATATACTGTATATAATATATTAGTAGGTTTCCCCCAATGCCATTAGTTTTTGTCTCCCCCATTCCATACAGTGAGGTGGTGATGGGTCATTCCATTTAAAATTTAAGGTTATTAAAAGGAATTTTCTAGTTTTTTTATAATTTGATTCACTGTATTATAGTCCAAAATCAAGACCCATTTTTGGAGTATAATACAGGAAAATAACCCAGAAAAATTGAACAAATATAAGTCATAAGAAATATCCAATAATGCTAACAAAAATATAATTCTGAATAGGATTGTATAAATAATCAAGCACTTATCAGAAAATGAAAATGAATCATGACTTATATGTAAAATAAATACACTTACGTGTTGTGGCGTTACTGTTTGCAACTATTTAGAACATAAAAGGCACTTGTGAAAAAAATCATGACTTGCGGATGTCACTGAAATTAGTTCAGACTCAGATTCTAGTGAGAGGTGTTCATTACTTACAACACATCGACATGAGAACAAAGTGCACAACAGAAAAGTGAAATTTAACAATGAAAGAGAAATTGGACTTGTTCATTAAATAACAGTAATTTAAGGAAGTTTAAAAGTGCAAAAGATATAGTTAAAAAAGAAATTAATTATTTCTTAGAGTAAAAATACAAGGAATATATCTTAAAAAGGTTTTCAATGCTCTAATGACAGTATGTCCAACTAGTATTGATTCCAAGAGAGCATTTTTCTAATGCAGCTGCCATTTGTACAAAAATTAGAACTAGGTTAGATGACGAGAGCCTAAATGTATTATGTTTTTTAAAAATCTACTTTCAAAATAATGAAAAACAATTATTAGAATTATTTCAATGTCTGTTATGTCATAATAATTGCTATTACAAGAATGTTGTTTGTCTAAATTGATAGAAAACTTGAAACTAAATGGTTGTCCAATAATTCTGTCAGTAATTTAGTTTCTTTTAAATCATTTGTTAATATAAATTTACCAGTAATCCCAAATATAATTACTGAATTACTGGTAATGTAATACCCGGAAAATTTGCAATCACTGGTGCCGAGTCATCTCCGGCTGGCACAATAAGTAACAGAGTATGATTATATCTAAAATTAACAGTTCTGGAAGCAAAGATCAGATGAAAGTCCAAGTGCATAACTGGCAATGCAACTGTACTTGGTAAGTGAGAGTTGTAGTTTGAGTCCTACTTTGGGTCAGTTTTTTTTTCTTCTAAAATCTTCTGAATTTATTAAAATATGAGTTTAATTATTAAATTTAGCAAGAGATGGTACCTAATGCCTACTTCTAGTACCAAATTACTTAACATTTAATTATTAATAGCAGCAATAATATAGTCCAATCTAGCAAACATTTACCTTTAATATCTTCCATAACTGCATAGCTTGATGACTTTCCAATATAAACTAAAAATTTTTGTAGTAGTTGGCAGACAGATGAAAATTATACATGGAACATGGGCCTAAGTTCATGGCTAATATTGGCACAGTGTTACACCATGTGGTGCTATCTGCAGTTATTATTAGGAAAAGGAAGTTTTTAACTGTTTCTACCAAACATTTGCATTGTACTTATTTTATTGTCATTAATTAAATTTACCTAATTTTTATACACTATAGTTTTTCAATTTTAAAATATTTTTTTGTAATGTAAAAATTATTATATAGTTAACTTTTGCCTAATAAGTTTAGAAAGTATAAAGTCATCTTTGCTTGGCTTCTTGCCCACAGACAAATCATTCCTAATAAGCATGCTAATTTTCTGCCAGTTAACCCATCTTCTACTGCTCATGATTACCTCCCATCATACAAGAAGACATTTTCTCTGGATTT